GATATAACTTGCATAAAATACCAATTTTCTTCTGGCCTCAAATAGTTAGTAGGACTCTTAGTATTTATTTAATATTATCTTTTTATATTCTTAGAAGAGAGACTGGTTCCACCAAATCTATGTTACACCTCAAAATACCTACAACTAACCTCTGGAATCGTAAGCAAAATGAACAGAGTTTATACTGAAGAGATGTACGTCAGGGTCCAACAAATGATAATGCCAAAAATACCATTCAACGGGCAGCTCAAATTCAAACAATCAATGACCATCGCCTTCGACATTTACCCTTACCCTGACTCAAACGGTCCAATCCTCATAATTGGAGACTCGTCTACGAAATTCGAAATTATCCAGATGAAGTCTGAAGTTGGCATGTCTAACTCTGAAGTATCAGTTTCATATGCGGGTTCTGTGATAACGAGCGCCAACATTCTGTTGCCTGAGACTTGGACCTTTCTAGCTGTAACTTTCGACGTATTGAGCCAAACATTTTTTCTCTGGAGGAACGGTGAAATTGCAAGTTTGTCTACAACTGACTTCTCTAAATTTGATGTCAGTTATGATCAGTTTGAATTAGGAAATTATGCAGCGAACTTCGATGGCGTTCATGCAAATGTCAGTTGGTTACAGTTCTATGACCGTGCCTTGGATGAAGTTGAGATGAAAGTCGCGCAGAACAAAGGTTTGTACAGTAGGCATCGAAGTGTCACTCATCACTCTTATGAAGCAATAGGTTCTACACCAGTTGTAGGCCTACACTATTGTTTTAAATAAATACTGTCGTAATTAGCGTATTTGTGTGGAATTTGTGGAATTATTTGGCGCGATTGGTGAGTCTGGAATTTCAACCTTAACAAGAGCGTAATTTAGACAGACTCGGAATATTTTCCTAAATCAGATGTTACATCTTACCATGCTTGTATTTTTTTTACTCCTGATGATGCGAGAGTCTTTCCAAAGGCTCACCTCTACCCCACTAGCGAAACAAATTTTCAACATTAATGTATTATATTTATTAATAATTAGCATTATAATAAGCCATCCTCATAAATACTAAATTTACGAATACTAATTTTTTTGGAAAATTTTAAAATTGTTTATTTCTATTTTACTTCCAGATATTTCCAAGTGTCCCGGTTTGTTTCAGATTACCAAACAGCCACAAACTTTCCAATCTGATTCCACAGGAGTCCGGCACCAAACAAAGTCAATCATCGAATGCGCTCTCACATGTAGACACAGTTCTCAGTGTTCCTCATTTCATTACATCGTCGGGTCTAGAACCTGTGAGCATCAAGCAAATGAAAACCAGTACCACTCAAATCTTGGACATGGAAATGGTTACTATTCGTGGATAAGCTATGTGCAGTAATATCTAGGCCTACGCATCTTGAACTTGCTTTATTAGCAAGTGATGTCAAGGGGAGTGACGAACAGGACGAGAGAAGATAGGCTTAGGTTTCTTTTTCCCCCTTAGTAAATGTATTGCTGTGTGTAGAGGTTATGCCTAATAGTATTTATAGATCACATCTGGTGTCAGCTATAACCAGTGGCGTATCTAGGACTTTTGAAATGGAGGGGATGGGGAGCAGTGGCGGCTCCAGAGAGGAGACAGGGGGCTTAAAGTCCTCCGCTGGACAGGTCAATCCACCCCCCCCCCCACCGGACAGAGCTCGTCGGGCAGTCAGACCGTAAAACATATAAAAATAGGCCCACACCAAGCCAACACATGTCTGTCACAGTCTGAGAGTGCCATTTCCGGCCATCAGAGGTTGCTATTCTTAAAAAAAATCTCATTTGGGAGGGAACCCCCTCTCAGCCCCTTCCCTCAGCTCGAGCCTACGAGCTCAAGTCCCCCTGTTGGACAACTTGCACCCCAAAAAATTATATCCTAAAGTCGCCACTGATGGGGCGGGGCAGCTGACTAGGGTGCGATGGGTGAAGTGGGGCTCAATGATTAGGGGAGGTAAACTGAACGTGATTTTTTTTTTGGAAGCATGTGTGCGCGAATATTTTTTGGTTGGCGGCGTGCACCCCACTGACTTCAAGGAACAGTGAAATTAAATTTTACTGTTCCCTGATTGACTCTAAATTAATGTGATGCTATTATTATATGGAATTGTAAATTTTTATCCATTTTAATTGACTGTTTAATATTACGTCTTTTGATCATATTTTTATGGAATTTTAATGGTTTTACTCTAATATTGAATTGTAAATTTTAATACATTTTAATTGAATTCTGTAATGCGTCATTTGAACATAGTGATGGAATTTGCGCAATATAAGTGAATAAATTATTATTAATAAATTATTATAGATCGACGTGTTCCAGTTTCGAACTTTTAGAGCTTAAAATATCTGCATACAGTATAGTCTTTTCAAAGCCACATGTTAAATGTAGCAGCTTTTTATACACGATCCATTTATTCTGAGATCCTTCTAAACTAATGTTTTCACACCGGGATTGTAGCACTTCGCTAACTGTTACACCTAATGTTGCATCAAGCGTCGATTTTGATCATTATCACCATATCACAAAATATATAATTCATTGGTACGTATTTCTTCGATACGATAGTTAATTTAGTAAATTGTACGAAATTAATTTATGTTAACGTATATAATAATAATAATAATAATAATAATAATAATAATAATAATAATGATGATGATGATGATGATGATGATGATGATGATGATGATGATGATGATGATGATGATGATAATAATAATAATAATTCTTTGAGCTTCAAAAAACATCACATTACTGGGAACTGCATATAGCAAGAAGATTCTTCGAATAGGCCTAAGTGGTGAACGATTTAAACGGACGGATGAAATGAAATGATGTTGAAAATGAAATTCTAATAATAATAATAATAATAATAATAATAATAATAATAATAATAATAATAATAATAGGAACCTAACATAAACATAGCAATTGCAATGAAAATGATTTTATATTATACTTATGGAACTCTCATATCAAAATGTATCTTTATAGCAATAATGTGTTTAGGTTAGTACAGTTTAAGCAAATCATTTTTATCTGCACAAGTTTGTTGTTGTTTGGGAACTACATTGGGGCATTTGTGTCAGTCGTATGGGGTAAAGTTGACTGTATAGTTTCATTGTTTCATTTGTTTTATTCTTTGCTCGAAAATATAAAGTAAGTTTATGCCTCCTGCTAATGATTTATATTGGTTGAACATAGTCGTAACTATTATAGGCCATTGCACTATCATATGTCGTGGAAGTAGTTAAAAATACATTAGAAACTATCATGTCGTGGTAGTAGTTAAAAATACATTAGGGAAAAAAAATAGGATAGTTTAAAGTGTTTAAAGGGACGACCAGATGGGGTAGGCTTGCATTGGTATGGGTAACTTTGATTGGGTTGCTTTATCAAATATTAATTACCGTACATAATGAATACCACCGTTGTAACCGTGTAGAAAGTTTTTTTTTGTTTTTTTGTTTTTGTTTTTTTTTTCTTCATTGAATTGAGGTTTTTTTGTTTTTGTTTGTATAGGCCTAGCTAGTAGTTCTTCTTTCGTTTTTCCCAGGAACACAATGTAAAACATCCTGGTAACGATATTAATGATTTTAACCAGATATTTTATATTATATGCAGTATCTTAAAACCATGTCATCGAAAGCGTTTTGACTTGAAAATCATTGTTTTTTGTCTGTAAGGGTTCGTATTTAATGCAATTGTTTGAGAGGAAGGCCTTATTTGGCATGATAGTTTTGGCAATGTCTTAGTAATGTTGGTTTATCTATACTAGGTTGATTCGTTTCTTGCAAATTACAATATATACAATTCACCCTATTGTTTGTGATTCTAATGCCTAGAGAGTGAACAAGCATTGATAATGGGAATAATAAATGCAACCACCGATTAAGTTATAATTGAAGTATACTTTACGTTTCATTTTACTATCGATTTTCTTAAGGGAAAAACACGTTCCACGTGTATAGCTGAATCGCTGCTTAAACTTGCATTACCTAAATAGTTTAGTATACAACTACTGTAGCCTACAATTGCGGTATAATATAACTAAGTATAGGTGAACATGAACGAAATTCTTGCAAGTAAACCATTAAATGTCTACGTATGTACAGGTATTAAGTGTTTTATGAAAATATCTTTCCTTGGCAAAAAGACATGAAATTGTTAAAAGTTACACTCCATTTATTAATTACTTGTATACAACTTCAATACACAATTAAAAGTTTCACCTAATAAATAAATAAATCAACCATAAATATAAATATACTGTTACTATGTGAAGTTGTAAATAATTTGAAAATATAGTATATTCTTATATTTTTCATGCATTTTCTTCCCTATTCCTTTCTTACCACCTCTTTCTTTTCCTTTATTTCCCTGTAATTTCTTTCTTTACTTTCATCATCATCATCATCATCATCATCATCATCATCATCATCATCACCACCATCATAACCACCATCATCAGCCTGTCAGGCTACTGCTGGCCGATGGCCTCCTCAAACTTCATTCTAATATGTTTTTTGCCAGATTTACCCAGTTCACACCAAGCTCCTTCTTTACCTTATTATGACTATATCTAATGAGTTCAAATTATGTAACCAGAAACACGACGTTTGAGTATTTTAGTATTCCACATAATTTTTGCATATCAGTTAGAAGATACTCAAAATTTACAGACAAAAATGTATATAATAATAATAATAATAATAATAATAATAATAATAATAATAAAATAATAATAATAATGATAATGATAATAATAAATAATAATAATAATAATAATAATAATAATAATAATAATAATAATAATAATAATAATAATAATAATTGATGAGCTTTTAGTTTAAATTTAAATTGACTGATGGTTGAAGCATAAGGTACGGTATGTATAATGGTAAAGTATTCCTATTCCCAAACGCGAGAGGAAAATTGCTAACCTATAGACTTATGTTTGTAAAACAGAATATAAGGCTTTTCCCCATTGGTATGATTATAACTGATGGTCAAATTATAAAATATAAAACAAATTGCTCTACGGGGCACTGGTTGACACAAAAGAGGCCTACACCATGCATGCCAAGGCCTAGAAAGGCATAATGGTTATGAAATAACAAGGTACGGTATTGACTTATAAAAGAGTTGAAAAATAATGCAAGGCTGAAATAATTCATATTAATGTTTACAATATATTTTAATCTATTAAACAATATCTACCATCAGGTTAGGCTTACCTACACCTAATAAACTCTATTAACAACGATCAATTTATTTATTCAATCGTTGTAATACGCGCAGCTAATGCACATGAACAGTGATCACTGAGCAACCGGCTACCACAACCAGCAGTTGGATTTATGATTATATCATAGGCCTACTGCTCTACAACCAGCAGTTTGATTAAACGTCCATAGGAAAATGGATGGACGTCACAACTGACTTATAAATCATATTATAGGAAATAAAAGCCCTAGGACATATTTTTTTCCCAGGAATTAATGGCTCATGGCTTCTTACAGTGTACTCAAAACCTAACTATAATTGCTTAAAAGAGCGAAACAGGGCCTCTAAGTGCTTCCCTTTATTACCCTTGGCCATTGGATCAAGCACATATGGAACATACACTCAGTTCCGTGGAAGAGGAAGAATTCAATAATGTTGCAGCTGTAATCAGCGCATTTTGTGTTTGAACCTACCAGGTACCCACCTTTACCAAAGAACTTAAATAGCAGAAGAATGAGCTGTTCAGCGAATTTGCATTAAATTTGATGGAACTCTCCCGCGAATGAGTAAAATTTAAACATTTTACTAAGTGGAGAAACTACATGAAACAAACGAACCAGAGCGGCGCCTTTATTATTACTATATAGCGCCGCCGTGCGGACAGGGTAAAATTGTTCTCCGTGTACCCACAATACCTATCGAACGGATGTTCCACTATATTGGGAAGCTGCTCTATCTTCTGCTATTTATTATCTTTGCTTTTACTCATGGATGGGGAGAGACAACCGTAGGTAAAGTGCATTACCTAAGGACACAAGCGAAATGCACAGCGAGGGATTGAACCTTCGACCTTAAGGTTCAGAAACAGAACCGCAATCGCTGCGCCAAACCCTGCTACAAATCTACTGTATACTTTAACAGCTGGATTGCTGGGTTTCACTGATTTTTTTTATTATAATAGCTGGATTGCTCATGGGCTGGTTTTAGTGAAGCCCACTGCGCCATGTTGAGGAGCCTAAATTTCACAAATACGTCATCACAAAGCAAAAGTTTTGAACCACTAATAACGCGACGTTGGCTAGCTCTTTTGAAAACTGCAGAAACAGGTGCACTAATTGTGGTTAGAAAGTGTGAAAAAAATAATTTAAAAAAAAAACACCAATAACCTTCTTTTTTTATTAATAAATATTGCAAGAATCGTTATTTTTAACAATAATTTAAACAAATGCCATAAAAAATTGACTAGACTGGTAAGTCACTAAGTGCTCTTCTATATGTTGTTTTTGGTGACTTCACTTTTTCCTGTACAGTTAATGGCCAATGAGAATCAGTTTCAAGTGAATTTTTCTTTTACATCTTTGTCAATAACCATTATGGGCATATTATAGCGTGCCTTTTACCTATTAAGATGTCTTTAATAAAATGAATGACTAATTACCACATTCAAAGATTCAATGGAACTGCATAAGACAATACAACTGTAAAGCCTGTCATTATTCAATCATAATGGATGGATCAGTCTATGCGGAGTCTCCAAAGGACTCGGAGCATGAAGACCTGACGCTAGGGGATTCTCACCTTGTAAGTGGCAAGTACACTTGCCACTTACAGGATGAGAATGGTGCTTTATAAACAAAGTCTCTTTATGAGGCTTAGGGAGTGGAGTTGTTTTGGTCGTGAGAAAAATTCCTGCTGTGCCACAGGAATCGAACTCAGGACCCTGGGATCAGAAGGAACGCATCTTAACCATTGAGCTATTCAACTTCCCTCCAAAAAAAAAAAAAAAAAAAAAAAAAAATCTGTGCACAGTGTCTTTCTAGGACTCAGTAGCTGCGGTCGATAATATAACGTTGTACGATCAGGAACTGCTGCCGGAACAATGACAAATATACGTTTGTTCCTTGCTGCAATAAACACTGCAACAGTGCAGTTTTTTTTAGATTAATAATAATAATAACAATAATAATAATAATAATATTATTATTAATAATAACAATAATAAAAATAATAATAATAAAAATAATAATAATAATAATAATAATAACAATAATAATAATAATAATAATAATAATAATAATAATAATAATAATAATAATAATAATAATCTGGTATTACCCATTAGAAATCATAGTATCCCATTGCCAAGACAGGTCACTCAAAATATTAAGACCTAAAAGTTTGCACGAATTAAGTTGAGTAATTATACTGTTATTAATACTGAGAGGGTCAACGTTTGATTTATTAGATTTGCAGCTAATTAGCATTTCAACAGTTAGATGAGGATAAGAGACAGTCTATATGTGATATTCTATATTTATTCTATCACAGTTTGCGAACCTTATATTATACTTTATCAGCGACTAATGAGGGTGTCGGCTAACTTGTACCCATTCTCTTCTATTGTCCTGTCGGTTTCTGTGTGTTT